CCAGCATTACTCCAATACCAAAACTAGGAGGATATTACACAATAGAAAATTACAGGTCAATATCTCTGATGAACATAGATTCAAAAAACTTCAACAAAATACTAACAAACTCAATTTAACAACATAGTCAAAGATTTATACACCATAATCAAATGGGATTTATTCCAGGGATACAAGGATGGTTCAAAATTTGCAAGTCAATGTGATATACCACACTAACAAAATGAAAACTAAAAACTACAAAATCTTTATAGATGCAGAAAAGTATTTAACAGAATTGAACATCCATTCATGATGAATATTGTTCATCAGGAAGCACCAAAATATATAAAGCAAATACTAACAGAACTAAAGGGAGAAATGGACAAAAACACAATCATAGTTGGGGACCTTAATACTCCACTGACAGCTCTACACAGATTACCTGTGTATAAAGGGAAAGTTATTTCAAAATAATAAAGACTATATGAGAAGACTATAACTAACATACTAAATAAATCTTAACATCTCTTCCACTAAGATCAGGAACAAGGTGAGGATGACGACTCTCACCACTTTTATTCAACATAGCATTGAAACTTAGCCAGAACTATTAGGCAAATAAAATAAAGAAAACGCATTCAAGGAAAGAAAGAAGTAAAACTGTCTCTATTTGCCAATGATATGACAGATAGAAGGGAAGCCCTAAAGACTCCACCAAAAAACTGTTTAACTAACAAAAAATTTAGTAAAGTTGCAAGATACAAAATCAATATACAAAAATCAGTTGTGCCCTTGGCCAGGTGGCTCAGTTGGTTGGAGCATCATCCCATACACCAAAAGGTTACCAGTTCAATCCAGAGTAATGGCACATATGTAGTGTGCATTTCCATTCCCAGTCGGGATGCATAGGGGAGGCAACTGATCAATGATTCTTTCTCACATCAGTGTTTCCCTCTCACGTCAATGTTTCTCTTTCGCTCACGCTCTCTCTCTCTTTCTCCCCAGCCAACCCCCCAGCCCCGCCCGTGTCGCCCGCCATCCCTTCCCGCATTCCCTCCCTTTTTCTATCTCTAAAATCAATAAATATATCCTTAGGTGACAATTTTAAATTTTTTTAAAAATTGGTTGTATTCTTATACATTATTAACAAACTAAGAGAAATTAAGAAGACAACTTTATTTATAACTGCACCAAAAAGAATAAAATACCTAGGAATTAATTTGACCGGGAGTTGGAAGACCTGTACACTGAAAACTAGAAGACGCATTGAAACCTCACCGATTTATCAGTACTTGTTAGAATGGCTATAAGCAAAGAGACAAGAAATAAGTGTTTGCAAGGATGTGGGCGAAAAGGAACCCTCATTTGCTGTTGGTGGAAAAGTAAATTTCCCACAGTGCAGCCCCTATGGAAAACTCTATGGAGATTCCTCAACAGTTAGTTCAAAATAGAATTATCATATAATCCAGCAATTTCACTTCTGGATATTTATCTGAAGGAAACAAAATCACAATCTCAAAAAGGTATCTGCCCTCCCACACTCATTGCAGCATTATTTATAATAGCCGAGACATGGCAGCAACCTGTGTCCATCAACAAATGACCAGATAAAATGTAACACATGTTCACACTGGAGTAGTATTTAGCCATAAAATGAAGGACAGCCTGCCATTTTTCAGCAGCATGGATGGACGTTGGGGGCATTATGCTAAGTGAAATAAGTTGGGCTAGAAGGACAAATACTTTATGAACTCACATGTAGAACTAGGGGGAAAAAAACCCAACTGAACTCACAGAGAACAGATTGGTGGTTGCCAAAGGTAGGACCTGAGGAGGAGGACAAAATATGTGAAAGTGGTCAAAATGTACCAACTTCCAGTTATGAAATAAATATCCTCCAGTGATATAATGTACTATAGTTACCAATAACGTACTGTACATTCGAAAGTTGTGAAGAGAGTAAAGCTCTCATCACAAGAAAATACATTGTAAATATGTGTGGTGATAAATGTTAACTAAACTTGTAGTAATCATTTTGTAATATACTCATATACATATATCAAATCAGTTTAGTTTTGTATACCTAAAACTAATGCAATGTTATATGTCAATTATATCTAAAAAAAAGATGAAGATTGTAGAAATCCTGTTCTATGAAGAATGACTAGAGGCACATACCCCAAAGAAGGGAAAGTGTAGATGCTGAAATATGGAAGTGGGGATAAGCTTATTCTGAGTTGCTCTGTGATAGCTTTGATTTCTCACTTGTAAGACTGGTATAATAACTGTGCACTTCTCACAGGGTTGTTGTGAGAACTAAGTAAGTCACTGCATGTTAAACTCTTAGAATACTTTCTGGCCTGCAAGCAACAAAGGATAGATAAATACTTTAGAGATGTCCAGTCCAGCATGTTGATTAAGGGATACTAGTTAATCCTACTCGACAAATTTAGTCTTTTAATTTTATGTATCTGTTGGTGGGATGGTTAGTTGGTGCAGCCACTATGGAAAACAGTATGGAGTTTCCCCCCAAAATTAAAAATGACCCAGCAATTCCACTCCTCTGTATTTATCCAAAGAAATCAAAAACACTAATTCGAAAAGATATATGCACCCCTATGTTCTTTACAGCATATTGACAATAGCCAAGATAGGGAAGCATCATAAGTGTCGATCAATAAATGCATGGGTAAAGAAGAGCTGGTACACATATAAGGAAATATTTACCCATCCATAAAAAAGGAATGAAATCTTGCCATTAGTGACAACATTGATGGACCTAGAAGTCCATGCTAAATGATATAAGCCAAGCAGAGAAAAACAATACATTATGATTTCACTTTATGTGGGATTTTAAATAAATAAATAATAAATAAAAACAGAAACAAACTCCTAGATACAGAGAACGAACTGATGTTTGCTAGTTGGGAAGGGGGTTGCTAGTTGGATGAAAAGGTGAAGAAATTAAAAAGTATGAATTTATAATTATAAAGCCCTGGCCAGGTGGCTCAGTTGGTTGGAGCATCATCCTGTACACCAAAATGTTGAGGGTTCAATTCCTGGTCAGGGCGCATACCTAGTTGCGGGTCTGAATCACAGTTGGGGCACATAAGAAAGGCAACCAATCCATGTTTCTCTCTCACATTGCTGTTTCTCTCTCTCCCTTCCTCTCTCTAAAAATATGTTCTTGGATGAGTATTAGAAAAAAAGTCACAGTGATGTAAAGTACAACATAGGGAATATGGGCAATAATGTTGTAAGAACTACGTATATTGTCAGGTGGTTACTAGAATTATGGTAAAGACTTGTAAGATATAAAATGTCTAATCAATGCAACTGAAACTAGTATGATATTGTATGTCAATTATAAATGAAAAGTAAAAATAGTAAAAGTTGTGTCCTGATGTTAAAAAAAAAAAAAAGAATAGGTGTCAAGGAAGAACTCATATTGGATGTTTTGGGGGTACATACAAGAAGCTTTCTAAAATAAGACACAAAGTCCACAAGTCAAAAGTGAAGACACTAAAAGATGACCAGAAATGAAAACTGTGTATTGTTAAAGCAACTTAAAATTAGATATAATTCAGAGACGTGCTGGGCAAAAGCATTGTACCTTATTAACAGATCAGGGATTCAATCCACAGTTTATAAAGAGAACAACAAATCAGAAAGGAGAAAAAATGTTTCAATAGGAAACTGCATGAAATATCCAATAGGAAACTGCATGAAATATCAGACATATCACAAAAGAATATTGTAGAATGTTCATTAATAATATGAAAAAATTACTCAAGCTGTCAACAATCAGAATTAACAAAAAGAGTAAGTTAATATTTGCCAATCACAATAGCAAACATTTAGAAATAATACTCAGAAAGTGGAGAGATGTAGTAAAACAAGCATTCTCAAAACAGAATGACAAGTTTCTATGGTGTATACAGAGAGATATGTGCAAAGATGATGACTATAGCTTAACTTGTAATTATTATATGGAAAGCAAAGTACACCATGATAAGATCAATGATACAGTTCTATATTAAAGGCAAGGGATTTCCAAGATGCATCATAAGGTAGAAACACATTAGAGAACAGTTTGCATAAAATAATCCTGTTTATGTTAAAAAAAACTATGTACTTTTGTATATATAATATTTATTGAGCGTTTAATCTATGACAGGCATGACTCTAAGCTTTTTGTATATTTTAACTTCCTTCATTATCATTTAAAAAAATCCTATCAGGTAGATAGTATTGCTAACCCTCATTTCCCAGATTAAAAAAGAGAGAGTGCAATTTGCACAAAGTTAGAGATGAGAAGGGATTCAAACCAAAGTGGCTTGGTTTCCTCACTCCTTTTTCAGCATTATTTACTCAATTTCCCTATCCCCCTCCCTCCCATTCCCCTTCTCTCCTACCACCTCCCTGTTCGCTCAGTAAATTTTCAAGCGTCTGTTGACAGTGTCATGGAGAGAAAAGTGGGGGTGCAAAAGATATGTTTCCCTTTTCTCCATATTCAGCTTTATGGTGTGGAAGATCATGTGTTACTTTTATGAATGAAAATTTTAAAAGAAAAAGGAAATCAATGAATTCTTCAGTTCAGTTCAGTTCAATAAATATTTATTGTGCTTGGCTGTCAGTCGGAGGGAACCTGAAAAGCTAAACATTCGAAACACGTGATCGGTTTGACTCTTAAAACGAGTTAACATTATTTCAGGAGAGACCGAGACTGAGACCGAGACTGAGACCGAAAGAGGAAGAGAAACACACAGTCAGAGGGCGAAAGTGAAAAGGGCTGCACAAAGGAAAAAAAACTTGACTTCCTTATCTGTGCTCTGAACCTTTCACCGCTCCCAGTCCTGAAAGTCTTAAGGTTGTTGGTCAAGATCCGGGGAAAGGAAGTTCCGTGAGTTCAGTGCCTTCAAGACCACCTCGGAGGCAGCCACGCCTGGGTGGGGTCACCTCAGCTCCCGGATGCCCTTTAGCTGCAGAACCAAGGTTTCTGGAGTCTGTCCAGAGGACAAGAAGGGCGGGGCTACATCTCCGCACTGTTCCGGGGTGGCGGTCTCCTCGCTGTTCTCTTTCCTCCAAGCAACAGCGCGGACGTCTAGGGAACTCTCTGTCCACGTAGGTTGCGGAAACGAAAACGAAAGCCCCGGTCACTCCCAGGCCCCTTCCCGGTGCCTTCGCGGAAGTTTGCGTAACCGGGAAGTGCCGTCCAAGGGGCCAAGGGGAGCAGAGCCGGCGGCAGCGCACGGACCTCGCGCGTTCACGGAGCAGCGGCAGCCACAGGTGGGCAGCGGCGTTCTCTGTCCCCTGCCGCGGGCGCGGGTCTCCGGGGTGGCTTGTGACACAGGGGCGAGAAAGGGGGCTTGGGCTTGTGATGAGGTTGAGGTAGGGGGACAGGGTACTGGGGTTCCAGGGGCGTAAGGCAGTCACGAGGAAGTGGAGCCAGACCCCAGCAAGGGGCCCCAAGTGAAGAGCTGGTAGGTACCCCAGGTGGAAAGTGTGCATGACAAGGAGATCCCTGCCTGAAACCACCCCCTGGCTGGGCTCCCCTAATGCATCTGTACACAGTGCGCCAGGGGGATCTGCCAGTCTATTGGGGAAGTTAGAGGCGGCTATTAATAGAGCCTGCTAGCTGTCATTTACCAGTAAATACTAATTAGGAGTATGACTGGAACTACCCTAGGCACCCTGGGACGCCAGAATTGGAAACATAGAGGCAGTTTGTAGATTAGAGGCCAAGCCGTTATCTCAGGGGCCCTCCTGCCTCCTGCCTCTACTACTTCATATCTGGGGACTCTGAATTCTAGGCAGTTTCTTCGTAGACCTTCCTTCCTTACCTCAATTCGGAAATGGTGTGACTATTCAGAGTTACAAGGGTTAGAGTAGGACATGTACTAGTGTAACTCTGTTAGGGAAGGGTCTGGCACTGCACAAAGTACTTAGTAACAGTCAGTTTTTATTGTTTCTAATATTCAACAAAGCCCCTGTGTCTCCAAATTTACTCTTTTGTTCTCATGGGGTTTTATTTATCCATTTAGTCTTGGAAGTCTGGCATGGTCACTTCCCAGTTCCAGAGAACAAGCAGGGGACAGTTTATCTTAGTTTGTCAAGATGGGGGATGTGGCTAGTACTGGACAAGTGTCACTTGCTCCGTGTCACCTGTCAGGTGATTTGGGATCCCCTTTTTCTCTCTTGGACTTTTGTAACAGCCGAAGTTCCTCTTAATACCACCCTGGTGAGCATGACAACTGGAGGACCTAGAAGGCTGAACTAACACAAAGGTTGTGAAATGAGTGGACTTCTTCACTTGAGCAGACAGTAGCATTTGAAATAGCCAGGTTTTAAATTAAGCAGCCTTCAAATCTGTAAGGAATCCATTCTTTCTGACTGAAAAGAATGAAATAATACGGTACACACATTGTTGAATTAACAAGCACCAATTAAGTGCCTTGTCTGGGCCCAGCCATGCTCTGGCTTTTGAGAGTTTGTAGTGCAGCCGGAGAAGGAATGAACGTGTAAGGATGGTCTCCTGGGCACCTCTCCATCCTCATGTCTAATGATCTCTGCCTCTTGGGCCTGTAACCCGCAGGCCTTGCCTTTCCTTTCCTTGAATGAGAAGGGCTCCCTCAGCCTCTCGACTTCTACCCATGCAGTTACCTCTGTCTATAACCCCACCCACTCTTCAAACATGCTTCTTTCAGCGCTGGGATCTGTCTTCCTTGACACCCCTCCACCTAACCTACTGTCCCTATGACCCTTCATTACAGCGCCACTAGATTTATTTATAGCACTCCGAGTGTTTGTAATAATATATTGTTGTTTGTCATTGTGTTCTAGTGATTGTTATAGTGCCTTGTACATTCTCTATGCCTTCCATCAATATTCCTAAAGAAAAAAGCTTTATACTAAGTGAATATTTATGAATGTACATGCATAGTATACAAGGGTGGACCACAAAAAAATTATCTTCTGGAAGGTGTGCCCTTTGTAGTACAGTCTGCCCCGCCAGGTGAGTGTCCTAGGAACCCCTCCCATATCAATATACCAGCTGACCTTATTGTGAGAGACTTCATTCGACTTTGGTGGATTTTTTTGAAGACTCTTTCAGTGCCTTTGCCCATTTCATGAAAGGTGATTTACAAGCACACCTGCCCACACCACGCTGAGTGTTAGCAGTTTTTCACCAAAAATGGCGTGACCCCTGTGGCCCACCCTCCATATATACCTGACCTTGCCCTGAGTGACTTTGTTTTTGTTTCCCTGGGTGATTAAAGTTCTCAAAGGGAAACATTTTGCTGAGGTAGAAGAGGTGAAAGAAAAAATGGAAAAAGCACTAAAGGCATCAAAATCGATGAGTTCAAAAACTTTTGAACAGTGGAAAAAACGTCTCGATAGTTGTATTGCATCAAATGGACAGTATTTGAAGGTGATTTAAGTTTTAACATGTAACAATAAATACACAATTTTTATAAATAAATTCTATTTTATGGGGGTCCCTCCTCAAATATAAACCTATGTAAAGAACACACCAAGTAAGATACAGAACATTTCCATTGCCACAGAAAATTCTGTCCTGTCACTTTCCAATCAGTCCCTTCCTGTGGCAGCAACCACCAGTGTTCTGATTTCTGTGCCCAATACGCTATTACTCAGCAACACAAAAAAAGAGCAACTGGTAAAAGCAGACACATGGATGAATCTTGAAAATATTATGTTGAGTGAAAGACGCCAGACAAAAAAGAGCACACGCTAATACATTTTTATAAATAACCATATTTTAAATGCTTTCTATAACACAACTTCAGCGGACACCATTTGCCAATAGGATCTGCTCTGCTGCCGCAGGCTTTGGAAACATGCTCCTGGGGAAAATTATTTTAAAAATACAAGACTCAAAATAGTGTAACCAAATAAGAAGGAAAAGTAAATATGAACAAATGAGCTCTGTTTTGGGGTTCAGTTAATTTCACTTCTTTAGATTTCTCTACAAGAAGGAAATGATCTTCAACCCCATGAAAGAAAGGTAAATATTCTGGTATTCAAGTTGGTACTCTTTGGCAAAGACTTGGGAGCTTACGGCACTCGTTACTTAAGAGCATCCACCTGTTCCTAATATGATTCACAGCATTTGTTTATGAATTTCCTCTTTCTGGTACATTTGTTCTTTCTGACTGGCACTGGACTCCCCAGGCTCAAACAACTAAGTGTGAAAAATGTATATTTTTTAAGTAAAAAAATTTTATGTTAATAATTTTAAAGCCTTCCCCCACTCCGACATGCACACACAGAGTGGGGGGAACTTGTCTGTGTTCCTCCTCCAGGTATTATTCAGGATTTGTCCTTGAAATGAGGGCCTTTTTGTCATTGTAGGCAAGTGGAGAATGATGGAAACAATAGTCTCTTAAAATGGATGTAAAACTGGTTAAAGGCTATAGGATATTTTTTAACTATCATATTAGAGAGGGCTACCCTACAAATAACAGAGGATAGATGAGAACTTTAGAGATGTCTAGTCCAGTATGTTGATTAAGGGATACTATTTAATTCTACTCCACAACTTTAGTGTTTTAATTTTATGTATCTGTGAAGGTACTCAGCATATTTAAAGTAATGGGTATTACTTTTAATGTATAATCTTTGGTATTGGAAATCTGAGGTTAACAAAAACATCCATGGCATTTGGTATGTATGACTTGAGTTTCCTTTTACTGTTCCTTTTATGACAGAACCTAAATCATGAATGTGGCCTATGAAAACGCCTAGCGAAGTTTGGTTACATATGCTTATTTGCTTACTGATCATCTTAAAGATTAAATGAAGAAAAGCATAAATTTTAATCTTTTTGCTCTGCTTGCCTGATGAGGTCCATAACAGTTGGTTTCTGACTAGCTAATGAGAACTTGTGTTTGTATTATTTTTAAGAAAATCCAGGAAGTGAAGTCAGTAACTCAAACAAATTATTCCAGGCCAAGTAAATACATTCCAAATTATTCAAACATTGCTGAATTTCTTGAGTATATAATTAAGAGGTGACTACAATCAGAATTTTGATAAGAGTTTTAGTAGGTTATGAAATTTTATGCTTAATGTAGGCAATGAAAAGGAAAAAAATTGAGGGAGGAACATGATTTCCTCTTGAGAACACCAGATTTTAGTAAAGGACAGAGGGATCAGTTGATTCTTATTTACCATTTATGACAACACAGTAGGAAGGGTTAATAAAGTGGCAGCCAAGCCTGAAGAGGGCCTGGGAAGGACAGGGATGATTTATATTAGTGTGTGGATCCAAGATGAAACAGGTAACAGAGTTTTTGCCTCATGTGTTAATTGTAATTAACAGGTGTATAGGGATTTAAACTGGAGAGACAGGGAAAGGAGTGACTGAACAGTAGTGGGAAAGACTAGGACAGGACCAAGGCACTTGAAGCCAGAAGTACTGAGTAATAATGTTTATTTTTTATTATTATTATTTTCAGTAGAAATAACCAAACACAAAATTTAAATTGGATTTGTCATGCTACAACTATGACAACTCCTAAGAGTGGATTCTCTAGCTAAAAGCATGTCTTTTTAAATTGTTTTATTTAATCTTTATTGTATTTATTTTTTTTTTTTTTGCCACTACCATTTAGTCCCTTTATAACCCCTTCCCCCAGCAATCACCGCACTGTTGTCCATGCGTATCTTAAACCACAGAACAAAGGGTCAGATCTTTTAGATTTTCCATTCAAGCTGGAAGAGAACGTCTATAGGACTGGAAATTTCCAGAGATATTTACAGTAGTGTAACCTAATAGCTACCCTTTCTCCTTCTCATGTTGGACCATGCCTGGACCCCAGCCCTGAGCTGTCCACGAACTGGGCTGACCGACAACTTCTGAAGTTATAATCAGAAATATAGCAATGGGGAACGGATCTACCAGAAGGTTTAAATGACCAGATTCTGGTAAACTAGATGAATGGAGGAATATCTTACTTGCATGTATAGTTTCAGAATATCTTGTTTTAACAGTCATATTTGCCCATAAAATTGTAACCTGTGTATTAATATCAGGTCTTCTTTTTCAGAACTCTTTAAGTCATGGACAAACAAAGTAAGTAAATTAAGTGTTGACTTTTCTTCTTCAATGTTAAATCTGTTGTTAATATATTAGTCATCATATATTTTATTCAGTTTTTGAAAGGATATAGTTTGCTGTGTGTTATTTATGCTCTAGAATCCAAAGTCTAGTTCGATGTTTTGATATATATGCACAAATACTTACTATCACAAATTTTTCCTTTAAAAATATGTTTTAAAAGCCTTAGATAAACCTAAGAAACTTTAGGCTTACTGGAAAATATGTTGTATAATTTATACTGTATTTCATCCATATCGGGTTTCCCCTTTCCATGTATATTTAATATACATAAAGATTATTTGTCATATTAATTGATACATTTAATATGTTAATTTATTGTAATAAAATCCTCACATAAATCCCTGATTTATATTTATTTCATAACTCACACACGTTAATAGTTTTAAGTCAATATAAATCATTATGTCCTGGCTTTTTCTCTTTCAAGAAAATTTTAAATAAGTTGGGTATTGACCACGCATGTAATAAGATTTTGATTAAAAATCTAAAGCAATCCCTATTGGGGAAAATATAAAAAATAAAATTGTGTGTTCTGAAAGGTTTTATAATCTTTCTTTATCTTTGTTTAGATAACCAAAGACATTTCTCTCTCACCACAATGTCACTCTTGCTACATGTAGTATTGGTTATTAGGACCAGAAGCTTTGGCCCTTCTTCAGAAAGTTTCATGATTTTCTCTTTATGTTTTCTGTATTAATTTAATCTTATTTGCAAAACTCAAAGTGTTTTAAATATAAATTTATATAATATTAAGCTATTTTTGCTATAAACTTTAGGATGCTTCAAATCACTTTCGTAAAGATTCTTTTGGACACATAGTCACCTTTTTCATTTTCTTTCTTTTTTTCTTCATTAATTAAACTTTTACACTTGGAAAGAGGACTTCCTCAACTCAGTACTGACATCTACTGGGATAAATTTACAAAATAATTTAAAATCAGCTATAATGATTAGGAGTCAGTGGTTTCTGCTTTGTTAAACAGAGTATGTTTTCTTTTTTTCAATTGGATTTATTTGGGTGATGTTGGTTCACAAAACCATACAGGTTTCAAGTTCACAACTCAATAAAACATCATCTGCACACTGCGTAGTGTGTCCATTGCCCAAAGCAAAGTCTCTTTCCAACCCCATTCTTCCTCACTTTGCCCACCTCCACCTATAGCCTATCCCCCTTTCCCTCCAGCCGTAGCCACACTGTTTCCATGTCTATGTATTATATATATCTTATGGTTTTTATTGTTTAATCTCTTAACCTTCTTTCATCTAGCCTGCCAACTCCCTCCCCTCTGAAAGCTCTCAGTCTGTTCCATGTATCCATACCTCTGTTTCTATTTTGTTTGTCACTTTATTAAGTTCCTTAGATTCCACAGTTACCAAAAGTCATTAACTTTCAGTTTCATATATATAAGTTGTATATATATCTTTGCATAAGTAGAAATGAAAGCTATGTATGTATACTTTATATATATACATATATAAAATATATATACACATATATAAAAATAAAATACCTTTACATCAATATGATACTCCTATGATTTTTTAAGTTACTGTAAGTTGCATTTCTCAAATCTTTTTGTTATTCATATGCTCTTTGCTCTACTTGACCACCTGTCCATTCACATATTTCCTCTTGTATGAATTTCCACTAAAATCTCCGAAGCCAGGATCATTGTTCTAGCACAATAATCCCAGAGACGATGAGTTCCTAATTTGTGGACTCTGTCAGGTCATGGACCTATGTGTGTCTTTGCTATTGTTCAAACAATGGTACTTACTTAAAGGTACCAAAATGTGACAAATTATTTAAGGGTAGGCCTCTCAGTCATACTTGCAGTATATTTCCTCGAGATCCATTGAGCCTGATCCTGTTATCTCCAACTCAGGTTGAGAGTGGGGGCTGTGAGCAAAGCCTTGAGAGACAAAGAAGGGAATGGTTAGAAGGAATGGCTTGAGGTATTTCAGAAATCTGTGATAATTTGGGGAATGTTGCAGTATCTGCCCTGACAGAAGTAGAGAATTCTCTGTTGCCTGGATTTGCCGTGTCCATAGACCCCCATTCTGCTGAACTTATTAAGGAGCCAACTGAATAGAGGAGAGAGGGGACCCCAGAATTTAGCCTTCCTGCTGAAACCGCCTGGGTGGAATGATCTTAAAAGACGTATGAAAGAAACTCAGACAGGAAATGTGTCAGATTCAAAGTTTGGTCAACATTTCCAGGTGCCATGTCCCCATGATTCAAAAAGAAACTTTTGACTTTGCAGTTAGTAAGTCATGGGACGGAGAGGAGGACACAAGTGTAGTGTGCACTGGACCATGAAGGCAGAGCCAGTGCAGCCCCAGCGCCTCACTTGGGGGTGAGACAGGGAATGCTCAGTAAATATTGTCGGGTTGGGATGGCTGTTGAATTAATAATTGGAGAAATGCAAATATGAAGAACCAGGATGTTGTACATATTTTAAAGTTATTTGAATCCGTGTTCTAGGATTTGTACATATTTTAAGGCACACTGATTAGCAGATAACATTTAATATGTTAGTTTATTATAATTAAGTAAGTTATGATTTTTGTAGGTCAAGATCAGTCAAATATTAAAATTTAGTTTGGTCAGCTTTATTAGGGTAGTTTCAGAGTAAGCATTAAAAAAAGCTATTTTTAAAAAGATATTTAAATATTGCTATAATGCATAATTTTAAGTATTTAGTCAGGGGCTTATTGGGTGGAGGGATCTAGCAAAAATAGAAAAAGGACTAATAGACGTGAATAACAGTGTGATGATTGCGGGGGAGAGGGGTGGAGGCGGAAGAAGGTGTAAGGGGGATAAATGGTAATGGAAAAAATAAAACATAAATTGTAAAACTTTTAAAAGAAGAAATTCCTATCGCAATGATTATAGAGATCTTTAAAATCATCCATAATCCTTTCATTCCCACCCACACATCTACCTAGTATTTATCTCTTCGCATTCTGTATGTGTTTTTAAAACACTCTTTTTTCTAATACCAACAAAATAAAAGTATGGAAGTGAACACTCATCAGGCATAGCTGAGAACTAGAAATTTAACCCCAGTAACTCAGGCTGTCTCAATTTATCCAAAAGAGAATTTGAGACAGGATTCTACAGCAGAATAATTCTGATAACAGACACAGCTCTTGTAATGTGGACAATTCACTCCACTTATTTCAATACAGCATAAGATCATACAAATGAAATTATCTACAGATAGTGTATTGTTTTTCTAGTGAATATTTTATTAAGGCGGATATATGTTTGCCTCTCCTTGAATTACAGACATGCAAATAAATGCTCCTCACCCAGGAACAAATCTCCCAGCTGCGTATCATCCTCAATATCCTCCGGCAGCATTCCAAGGTAAATATTTTTTTCAAGGAATAAAACCAAAATAAATCAATCATTGATATTCCCAAAATAACAGAAGTGTGTATCTCTGTCTGTATATTTATTATAGTATTGCACTTTGTTGAAGGTGCAATAATGAAATTGGCAGCCTAGTTCTTGATTTGTTTGGTTGACTATATGTTATCATAAATATCATTAAATTAATTTTTCTTTATACAGGGTAGTAAAGGTATAGAGTTAGTAAAAATAGTAGTGAGTTTACATTTAACAAGTGAAATATAAAGCGGTATGTAACTTAAACCCCAAAATAAATATAGTAAGTAAAACATTGTATTGATTCTCCATCTCTTCAGAAAATTGTGATCATGTAAGCACATTTAGAAGATTTAATCCTGAGCAGTTTTGAATCATGCGTAGCTGAGGTTAATTGTGTTCAGTGAGAGTCACAGAAAAGACATGACTGCTTTAATAAAACAAAGTGCAAGCAATAGAAACATAGTTACCTGGGCATAACTCTCATTTTCATTTTGTAATATATAGAAGCTTTCCTTTTGTATACATGCTAAATTATGCCTTGCATTTGAGTAGGCAGTCTACCCACATCTTGAGAGACCATCCTGGGGACTTAGGACTTCAGGTTTGAAGAGAAGGTTGTATGCATTTTGTATTCTACTCTGAACAATCTGCTTAGGAGCCGAATGGTCTATTTAATTGTGTAACTGGAAATCTCCCAGTGGGGCCTGGATGTCATCAGATGTTTGCAATTAAAAGAATGTGCACTAGAAAAAAATCCAAGACTCTAAGGTAATAGTCTCAAGGGTACCTGCTAAAAGTATTCCATGAGAGCTCTTAAAAACACTAGTGTCAGAGCACTATCCCAGGAAAAAAAAAAAAAAAAAAAAAAAAAAACAACTAAAGCAAAAGCTCAGGGAGTGGAACCCAGGGATTGGTAATTTTTTAATTCCCCAGGTTAGTCTAACTGGCAGCCAGGGCTGCGAACCACTACTCTAAATTCTTATATGGGTGGTGTTTGGAGAATTATTAGCAAGTCTATACTATTCATCTAAGGTGCTTGGAGAATGATTTTATCCACCTACAGCTGATTAAAAGTAGATGATACATAATTAAATTGGTTATCATCAGACTTGAAAGTTTGAAAGAAAAAATAGCTCAATTTTATTGTTCAAGTTCAAGGCTGCATATAATACAGATTTTAATGTAATGATACTGATAGCTTAATATTGAGAGCTTACTCTGCATAATGTGAATTAACTCATTTAATTCTCAGATACTCTTATGAAGTAAATATGTTAACTATTCCTATTATTCAAGTGGGAACACAGGTATAGAGAGGCTTGTTCAGGCTTCAGGTTCTGGCTTCTGTACTTAACAGTTGTTTTAAACAAATTGCTGTACCTCCAAGCCTGAGTGCTTTTCTTAAAAAAATTTTTTATTGTATTTTTTCCATTACCAGTTAGCACCCTTACACATCCCTCCCCCTGAAACCACCACCCTGTTTTCCATGTCTGTGAGTCCTTTTTCCTTTTTGCTTGATCCCACCACCCCCTAACTTCCCCTCCCCCATAGTTGTCAGCCTTCTTACTATCTATGAATCTGTCTCTATTTTGCTTGTTAGTTCAGCCTGCTCATTAGATTTCACATATGAGTGAAATCACTTGCTATTTGACATTCTCTGACTGGATTGCACTTAGCGTAATGTTCTCCAGGTCCATCCATGCTGTCACAAAAGGTAAAATTTTCTTCTTTTTTTACGGCTGAGTGGTGTTCTGTTGTGTAAGTGTCCCATCGCTGTATTATTACCATTTGTCTACTGATAGATATTTGGGCTGCTTCCATACCTTGGTGATTATAAGTAATGCCGCAATTAATATAGGGGTGTTTATATTTTTTCAAATTAGCGTTTTGGGTTTCTTTAGATATATTCCCAGAAGTGGGATCACTGGGTCAAAAGGAAGATCCATTTTTAATTAGTTGAGGTGTCTCCATACTGCTCTCCACAGTGGCTGCACCAGTCCTCATTCCCACCAACAGTGCAAAAGGGCTCCACATCCTCGCCAGTACTTGTTAATCCAAACTCCTTATTAAGGGACTCCCTAGATGGGCTATTTCTTTACTGACAGCCACTTCTATTTTTTCTCTCCCTTGTGATGGTCCTCTCCTTCTCAAACGTGCCAAATTCATCCCTGAAGTTGGGGAATTTTGGGGTTTAGTTTTCCTTCCTCCTAGAATAGTTCTTACCAGATCATCATATGAAGCTTTTATCTTCTAATCTTAGTTCTCAACTTAAATTTTACCTTTTTAATAGTAACTAGTTTAGCCAGGTGGCTTAATTGGTTGGAATATCACCCCCTGCACCCAAGGGTTGTGGGTTCAATTCCCAGTCAAGGTGTGTAAGGGAGGCAAATAATTGCTGTTTCCCTTGCTTTAATGTTTCTCTTTCTCTCTCACTCGCCTTTCCCCTGTCTCTAAAAATCAATAAACATAATTGGGTGAGGATTTAAATAAAATAGCTGGTTGATACCTTTCCTTCTCCCCATGCATTTTCTCCATCAGTTCAATCTGAAATCTTTTTTAAAAAAATTTATTTTCTGTCTCTCAGAAATTGCCTGTAAGTCCTGTGAAAGCAGGTTGGCTTGTTAATAGTTGTATCCTCTGACTCTAGAACATAGTCAGATTATAGACCATCTGTAAATATTTGTTCATTTTAGCAGGAATTAATTATAAAAGCTAGTGTTTAAAAGACATCACTATGAGGTTTAAGCTCTCTTTTACTTTTTAATAGTGTATGTATTTTTCATCAGTGTTCTGTTAAGAATGTTTACAAGTTGCATATTCTAAGTTAAATTTTGCTTATGCTACGGAATTATTACTCTGTGAACTATACATGTATGAGCTTACAAAGTTTCGTTATAGTCAAATTCATGTGGATTATAGAATATACACTGAAATTAATGTGAAATATAGAGTGTTCACTTGTGAAGTTCACATGAAATGTACAGTATACATATGTGAAATTTACATGGAATATGAAATATACACTTTTGAAATTCATGTGGAATATAGAGTATACATAGTATACACTGTGCTTATTAAGTACTTAAGATAGTTTTTCCATGATAACTTTTTACCTGCCCTGTTTCAAATTAATTTCCAGATAGCTAAGGGTGCTAAATTGTGAAATTTATATCTATAACCTTAATATTATTGCGGAATTTTTTTTTCACGTGGAAGATCTTAGGAATGGAATGCAGTGAATTAAAACTTCAGGGAAATTGTTAACCTAGAAAATTACCTAGACAGTACTGGAAGGAATGACATGTCTTTACTGCTATACCAGGGTTTTTCAACAGATCATCTGTAAATATTTTGGGTTGGATACTTCTTTTTCTTCAGGATGCTGTTTTGGGCATTTTAGGATTTTTAGCAGCATTCCTGGCCTCTATCCACCAGATGTCAGTATCACCCTCCCCTCCTGTTGTAACAGCCAGAAATATCTCCAGACCTGACTAAATATGCCTTGAAGGGGCAAAACCATACCCAGTTCAGGACATATGGGAGATACCATTTGTTAGAATTTCAAAATTATCATTTATTACAGAGTGCATTAGTCCTAGAAATCCTGGCTCAAACCTTTATTTTGGGCCTTCTATTCAATGTCATCTGTCTTTTCTATGAAGACATTTCAGAGTCCATAAACAAGTGACTCAAGATCATGGTTGATTTTCTTCCACTTTCGTAGGTTTTAAGCATACTTTCATCTGAGTTTTGAATGGTAAGAGTGAGGCCTGTGCCAACTCTATTCCATCCAAAACTCTCAAAATAGAAGTGTGTATGAAATCACAGATATTTCATTGATAATTTGCTAAAAGATAAAAACATGAATTTTATGCTTCATAGACACAGGATTCCCAAAATGAAATTACTGGGGTAATCCCAAAGAGTTGATGCTTCCATTCTTCAGTGAAGTTACAAATTATTTCACTGTTCATATTTCAGGACCTCCGGGACAAACTGGCTACCCAGGCCCACAGGCCGCCTATCCTGGGACGGCGCCAGGCTATCCTGGCGCCTACACTGACTACTCAGTCCCACCACATGGCTATTCAGGTGGCGGTCCAGTGGGCTTTCCTGTCCAACATCAGCCAGTGTATAATCAGCAAGGAGGACCTGCAGGGACACCATGGATGCCAGCACTACCACCTCCCTCAGGCTGTCCTCCAGGGTTGGAATATTTAAGTCAGGTAATCTCAAATACATTAAACAGTCATAAAAAATAAAACTGTGCTTCCAGTTTACTTACTGATAATTCATTCGCAAAAGTCTGAAATGGTAAAACAAAATTCTTTTACTAACAAAATTACTCCAGTCCTTCTAGGTCAGGTTTATTTAAAGCAAACTACGAATATCTTAGGATATTGTGTTTTCTATGATGTAGAATATAATCTGTGGTGATAGCCAATAACACACTTTTTTTTTAAGTTTAGCTTTTTATTGAATGTGTTACAAAAGAGATTTAGTCAAAAAGACCAAAGTCCATGTCATCATCGGACTCCTCGGCTTCTTATTTCTTTGCTTACACTTCCTTTTGCTCAGCTGGAGCGGCAGCCCTTGAGAGTGCAGGACTTCCTGCTGGTGCAGCACTAGCTGCTGGGGCAGGTCCACCAGTCCCTACATTGCAGATGAGGCTCCCAGTGTTAACACTGGCCAGAGCGTTTGCAAACAAGCCTGGCCAGAAAGGTTCAACATTTACACCAGCTGCTTTAATGAGGGCATTGATCTTATCCATTGTCACTGTCACCTCATCGTCTTGCAGGGTAAGGGCCGAGTAGATGTAGGCGAGCTCCGAGATCCGGAGGCCATGGTGTGGGCGAACGCTAGGCGAGCACTGCCGGGAGTGATGCTAGTTGCTGGATGAAGTGACGGCATCACCCCAACGCGGCCTTAGCTTCCTTGGAAGGACTGAGCACCTTAGTGACAGCTGGGGAAAGGGACCGAGAGCACATATTTATTAAGCACCATTTTCCAGGTTTTGTTCTTATGTATAATATAAGTATTAACTCATGATCCTTTCAAAAACTCCTTGATATATAGGTGCTAAAATTATCACCAAGATACAGAGGAGGAGACTGAGGTCCAGAGAAATTACATAAAATGCTTAGCATCAAAATGCCAAGGGAGTGGGAATGGCTCTTTACTTATGAAAACTTAGTTCTGTATCTGGGGGCTTAAATCCCAACACCGAATAATTTCCTAGGAATAGGAAATAAACAACAAATAAAGCTTAGTGTTGAGTTTCAATAAGTGGTACCAAAAAAAATGTAATATTTTGTATATAACATGACTCACTTTCCTTAATTTGCTCACCTTAACAGTGAACACATTCAGTAGAAATTTTATTTAAACATATGTTAACTTTGAGTATTTCTAGAAGTAATGTAAACTATCATCAAATATTGATAATATTGGTAAGTATTGTTGATTATATATTCTTTAAAATATAAAACACTAATGTTAATTCAGTTGGCTTAAAAAACATGTGACATATAATTTACATCTTGACTCTTTTTTTTTCCTATAATAGATAGATCAGGTACTGATTCATCAGCAAGTTGAGCTTCTAGAAGGTATGTATAGATTATATTTCCATAAGAGAAGACATTTATGCAAATAAAGGCATGTCAACAACCACAGATATAACACTTTCACTGATGTGGAAAGATTAAACCTGGTTATTCACAAATGTCTTTCATCCTACTAATGAAATGATGATGATGATGATGATGATGGTCATGATGATGATGATGATGATGATGATGATGATGATGATTGTCAGCAGCCCATTTCTTGAAATTAGGAGTCAAGTAGTAAAATACTATTACTCCAGGCATCTGTCCTCATGATATAGACCCTAATTTGGGGGGAAACCAGCCAAAACTGGCTTTTGTTCCCCCTTCTCTCTCAAAATCACTTCAGTGACTTACCACTTTACCAGACTTCTGTCACTTTAGCTCTTTTCTATCCAATATGTGATAACCTTGAGATTGCCACAGACCATGTGCAATAGTACAGTTACTTAGTACATTTCCAAAGTGAATAAATATTTTGAATTTGGATGATTGTGTTTCGGAAAATCACATTCCTGCTCACAGTTTCTCTTAGGAGTTCAGATGAACCCTGTAAAACCTTTTTGCCATGGGCTGAGGATTATTACTTTGGATGTCGGAAGATGCTGACCGGCAGGCCTAGATAGGTCTGGCTTCCTCAAACAGTATTCCTGGTGATGTGAATGGACCTAACTCCAGCAGGTGTCTCCCTGGGTCCAGTGCACCTCACACATAAGAAACCTTTGGAAGTCACTAGATGTTTCAGAACTCCAGCCAGAGACATTCATGGTGTCTTTCTTCTACATAAAGAGTTTAATGAAAACTCTACTAGTTTGTAGACTATGTCTATTAAATCCTTCTTCACTGCTCTGCAAAGTTTCCTTCCACTGGTAGAAATTATAATATGATTATACTAGTTGGCAATAGATTAGGTTAGAATATACAATTACTATGTATTGTGTTTTGATAACTTACAATGTACGTTGTTAGATATTTATAATGTTCTCCTTACTGTTAGTTTGTTTAAACTAAGTCTACACTGGAAATGAGCTCTTTCTTGTTGCATAATTTGTATTCCGAAATTTTTTTAATTCTTTATTCTAGGGAATTTATTTTTAAGATTATAAATCTCCCCCCAATACATTATACAGTACTCCATTCATAGTTTTAAAATTTATGTTTTCACCTGTTTTTAAAAATATTTGTATTAATCATGAAATATAAAGTACCAAATTTAGTATTTATTTATTCTTGAGTTTTTAAGAGGCATGTCTTTAATTTTTTGTCTCAAATTGGAAATCTATATTTTAGCATTATGAATAAAGAGATGCATATAGAGATGCATATTACTCAGTTTATTTTTGGAATCTGAGACTATTGCAGCCACATTTCTCAATTCAAAACTGAAATATGACAGTAAATACATAGCCATAGAATTTATTTTTTGTTTTTATTTCATTAAGTAACTAGAATGAAATTTAGAGGTTGTATTGTATAATCCCATTGATTTCATTTTATAGATAAATAGGCTAAAGATTTATGAGATTGAGGTACTTAATGGAACACAGATAATAGGGCTTATGTGAGTCAGAGCAAAGACACCTAAGGAGATCATGGCGCTAGAATTTGTTCAGAACGTCTGTATCTGGATGAACAGATAATAAAGAGTAGGCACACAGATAATAAAGAGTAGTTTTTGTTTTCAAATATTTCTTTTAATCACTTTTTATTTGGGTGGCTTGTGACATCCTACGACCCGAGTTAATGAGAGCTCTGAACAAGTGGGAACATGAGTTGCTCCTTCCTGGCTCTGAGCAAGAGCCGTTTCCAGTGTGTGGTTCAACCTGGGAAGACTTTGGTAAGATACCATGTGGGTGTCAGTACTGAGCTTATCTCTTTTCCGTGGTGAAGAGATTAGCCTCTAAGGTACAGAGTTCACTTAGGATGCCAGTGGTTGAGATATTTTGTGAGCTGCAGCCTTGTTTGCCAGGCACCTTGTCCCACCGCCTAATACCACCTCCCACTTCTGAGCAACCATTGCTGCATTGAACAAGGGCTCCCTGGGCCCAATGTGATGTTCTAACCCACCTTCCATTTCACTCTCTCCATTTTTCCATGTATGCTTGGAGGGTAAATGCTTTCCTTTCCTTCCCCCACACAGTGCAAAAAGATGAGCCATGAATATATTATGAAACAAGATCTCAAGCCAATTTATTTAGTACACACTGTTTCACACAGCATAAACATAGCAATCATCCTCTATTTCCTTCCCTGATTGAATATCTGAAAACAACGCCAAGCAAATGGACAGAACACTGCACACACCTAGCATGACTGTGACCATCAGCTGCACAGCCCATTGCACAGCAGCAAAGTTGCCTTTTCTGACACAAGTCTGTGGAACTAGGAAGATAGGAGTTTCCCTTTCCTTGTCTCACAGAGAAACTGTCAGTTTTATATACCTTCACATCCTCTCCTACTTCCATTCGTTTGCTTTTCTTTCTCTGTCTAGGTCACCTCTAAACTCCTTTCCATTTTGTTCTCCCTATATGACCTATAGTGTCACCTAAAATTGGTATAACTAGATATTATAGTATATTAGGATAAATTCAATATTCTTTTAACATAATGGTCATAATGATTCTCTTTTATGTTTTCAGTCTTAACAGGTTTTGAAACAGCTAATAAATATGAAATTAAGAACAGCCTTGGACAGAGGATTTACTTTGCTGCGGAAGAAAATGATTTCTGTACCCGAAATTGCTGTGGGGCTGATAGGCCTTTTACCATGAGAATTCTTGATCTTAGGGGCCAAGAGGTCATTACTCTGGAGAGACCACTAAAGTGTTCCAGCTGTTGTTGCCCATGCTGCCTTCAGCAGGTCAGTGAGCAGTTACCTGGGTAATTTGTAAAGTAGTTCAACAGAATTTTCACCCTTGCATAGAACCTGTATAATCAAATGAGGTTTTCTAAAAATTGGTCAGTGAGCTGTTCTGTGCTTGATAGTAATGTGGACAGGAAGGATGGCAGGTGAGAAGCAGTGACCCGTAAGCCCCATGTCCCTGAGAAGTTTGTCTCATGGGACTGAGCATCTGCTCAGAAACCAGACTTCCTAGTCTTTGAGGAGAGCTGAGAAGGTAAGGCACCTTGGTCATGTCCCTTACTGGAAGCGACCAGCAGAAAAGCCCAGCCAGAGCCAAAGGAGGGAACCACAGCCAACATCCTAGAAAACAATTCCAGGAGCAAGCGCACAGAAGAATGAGAAAAAGAACACACAGTCATCTCACAATTTGGCCAACCTATCATGGAACAAACCTAGGAGAGACCGCCTCTGAGAAATCTCAACTCCTGTGTTCTTAATATTCCCACTTTTAAAAACTAATGTATTTGAGGCTCTGTAGTGGAGATGTGCTAGGTGTGGGTACTTTCAGGTCTGGAAAGACCAGGTGTCTGTTTCATATTACTTGCCAGCCCACTGACATACAATGTGGATCTCAGGGGAGACACCAGGGCATGGAGAGTTCACAGGAAAGTTGGGCTTTGCCTACACCCTCCTGGGGTGAGACGAGCCCCGCCTGAGACCAGCCCCGCCTGAGACCAGCCCCGCCTGAGACCAGCCCTGCCTGGCTAGTCATCCCAGTCAACCAGCTCTGAGACCATGACCCAGACAGAGGCACATGCACATAGACATTTGAATTCTGGTGCTGCATTTATTTTTGACGGATAACTGAGGTTATTCCTACTGAATTATTTTGGGTTTTTTTTTAATGTCATTTAGGTTAGATATAATAGTGCCTGTCCATAGGAACATCTGAGGAAAAACTGAGTGAAGAAACATGCTCTAAATGTAAAGAGCACAGTAACACACATGACACTATTGATCTTCGAAAATAGTCAAAGAAAATGACATTTACAAGTGACCGTGCTGTACTCTTAGGTCACCCAGCTAATAGCAGAGTCAAGATCCTCGTCCACTTTCCATATAGAACCCTTGCCATTCATATAGGAAAATTGAGCCAATGATCAGAGTTCTGTTCACACATCTAAACCATCATTTTCAGAGGAGTTTGAGAAAAAAGTTCCTTCATAACTTACACGTTTCATAAGTATGGAAATTTTAAAATGTACATGGTCACAGAGCAGTGCTTAAGAATGGAATCCATGAGTGTAGCCTACCTGAGTTTGTGTCTCATGTCTTCCACTTTGTAGCTGGGTAATCTCATAGAAGCTAATGAACCTCTCTGTTATTCAGATAATTCATTTATAAATAAGAAGGATAGTACCAACCCGCTAAAATGTGTTGTAAATCAAGTGGTGTTTAGAAGTGCCTGACACTTAGAAAATATTCCATACATGAGAGTTATTAGACATTAGACATTGTTATTATTACAATTAACATTTATTATTAATAATAATTAGACATATTATTATTAATATATATATATCCTTTTGCTTTTGTAGATAGAAATCCAAGCTCCTCCTGGTGTACCAGTGGGTTATATTTCTCAGGATTGGCACCCATGCTTACCAAAGTTTACAGTTCAAAATGAGAAGAGAGAGGATGTACTAAAGATTACTGGTCCATGTGTTGTGTGTAGCTGTTGTGCAGATGTTGATTTTGAGGTAAGAGATGTGATAACGTTTATAGGGTTTGTTTTCCTAACATAAGAATAATTGGGAGGATGTTACAAATATATTAAATAATGTGTATTTTAATGCCTCAACAGGGAGACAGTGTGCTCACATATTTAACTTTGGTCAGAAAAAAACGTTTAACTTGGTTGTCAATGTGTGACTGCCAAAGCCTGTGGAGCCTGCCTTAGTGGAAAACACAGGCTGTCAGTGCCCTCGGCCCTCTTCAGAAGGCCTGACGTCTTTGAGTTCCTATAAAAAGTCCGATGATGCAGAGAGTTTTCAGGAAGGTAGTGTCAGATGTACCATCCAGTTATGCTTCTCTATGGTCTCTGCTTTATCTTTGTAGTAAATTTTATTATTAGAAACCAAAATATATTTGTGCACTTACTACATGGAGCATTTTCATCACAGCAGTTTTCAAACAGATGGCCTCGCCTTATAGTTCACATTATTTAGTTGCAAATATTAAAAATCAAGAAATTTTATCACTTGATCTTGATGTTCTTGTTCTACTGGAAAAGCAGAAAATGTCATTAATGGGGCCCACATTTCTATAAAAGGGGAAAAAAACAGGCTGAATCTGAGTAGTGCTGCCCCATTTTGATGAATATGTGGAAACCCTGCCAGTCTCCTGTGCCTTCCTGAGGTTTTCCACTATCCAGCCGCATTCTTTTATAGTATTTATCTGGTAATATGATAACATCCCTCTGTTAGACCCTGGTTATATAAAAATGAATCCTTCCCCTCAATAACCTCAGACTCTATTGAGGTAAACAGGCAATACTAAGAAAACACACATGAGGTAATAGAGATTTCATAAAGACTCTTAAAAACAGATATATTGGGTTGGCAAAAAAGTCCGTTTAGTTTTTTCCATAAGAAACAAGGTCTATCCAGAAAAAGTCTAGCCATTAGCTAATTTAATGAGAATGGTTTGTGCAACATTGATGTAACCTGGCAGTCAAGGAGAGTGGACTGGAATGCACATGCATGAGCAATGATGGGTTCATTGTACTAGTCGGTAGTTGCAGCAGACACTGTTGTGAGCATGTGTATTGTGTGGCCATCACATTCAAAATGAATGAGCATGTAGAGTAATGAATCTGCATCAAATTTTGCATTAAGCTTGAACATTTCCCCATGGATACTATTCGGATGATTCAGAAGGCTTTCAGGGGTGATGCAATGAGTGCAGCACGAATAAAAGCGTGGCACAAATGCTACAAAGGTGGTCGAGAATCTGTTGAAAGTGAACCATATTCTGGAAGGCCTACAACAAGAGAGCACCTGAGAATATTGAACATGTATGGGCTGCAATCTACAGAGATCGGTGACTGACAGTGCAAGAACTAGTAGCTGATCTGGGGATTCCAAAAACTGCTGCGTCTGAGATTTCGATGCAGGATCTTGGCATGAAACATATTGTGGCAAAATTCATTCCTCAAGTAGAAGGAGCATCATGCCACAGTTGCTAAAGACTTGATTCAAACCGCTACCAATAAACCAGATTTCCTCAGGAAGGTCATAACCAGAGATGAATCGGGGGTCTACAGCTATGATCTGGAAATGAAGGCCCAGTCACCCAATGCAAGTCGCCTGGTTCTCCATGCCCAAAGAAAGGCATAGCAAAGTTGCAGCAAGATCAAGAGCATGTTAAATGCGATTTTTGATTGGGAAGGTGTTGTCCATCACGAGTATGCCCTTCCAGGCCAAACAATTAATAAGGAATACTACCTCATTGTTCTTCATCAGTTGAGAGATGCAATATGATGAAAATGGCTGTAGCTATGGGCAACTGGCGATTGGCAGCTTCATCACATGCAGCATGCCTCCTGCGGAGTTTTTTTGCAAAACATTAAATTACCCAGGTGACCCAGCCCCCATACAGCCCAGATTTGGCAGCCTGTGACTTCTGGCTGTTCCCAAAACTAAAATCACCTTTGAAAGGGAAGAGATTTCAGACTATCGATGAGATTCAGGAAAATACGATGGGGCAGCTGATGGTGATTCCAGTGAAGGATTGAACAGTGGTAGAGATGCTGGGAGAACTGTGTGAGGTCCCAAGGTGCTTACTTTGAAAGGAACTGAAGTGTCATTGTCCTATGTACAATGTTTCTTGTATCTTGCATCTTCTTCAATAATGGTCTTTATTTTTCGTAGTGTGTGGCTGGATATTTTCTGGACAGACACCATTTTCACCAATAATTTTATTGATTTGGATATTTAGAGTACCTTGGTTATCTCCTGCCATTGGCTTCCAGTGGGTAGAAGCCAGAGGTGCTGCTAAACATTTTCCAATTCGTAAGATAGCCCCACAGCAAAGAACTATTTGGCCAAAATGGCAATAGTATGAAGAAACTTTGTAAACTACTTTTGACACATTCAATCAGTCACAGCACCTTTGCCATACATTGCACAAATGCTTTTTTTGTATTTCAGTTGCATTTTTACCTTTCTTGAAATAATGTGAAAATGTGTATTTTCTTCCATTTTCAACACTTAAAATGGCTACACAAAAATTCACCAACTTTGATAAGTTTTTTTAATGCATGCTGATATGACAGCTGTCACAATACAGTCTAACAAAATTGTTTCAAATGAAGTTAAAGACAACTAAGAACTACTAGAGCCATTGTATAGGAAAAAAAACCAAACAAACTTCCAATCCAATCCAATAGATTATAGGGTGGGATTTATACTGCATGTGTAAAGACTTTATAGGTTTCTCTGTAATAACAGTTCTCTATGTAGGGGTTGTTATTCCTATCAAGGATCCAGAGGAGGAAAAAGGTAATTGTTCTTTCAGGGAGTATTAACAGAAGTTTGGCTAACATATATTTTATTTGTAGAAAATACTGGTGAGGCAAGTCAGATTAGATTGTGAAATTCCTGTATTTAATGATAACAAATTTAGAAATAATCTAGCAACCCTTCTCAATAGATACCTTAGAGCATCTAGTATAGGTAATAAATTAACTTTACTCCTGTGCATCTCGAATGGTGCTACCAAGTAACGTTTTTTAGAGAATTGAGAAAATAGTCCCTTGAAACATTTTCTGAAAACTATCTGACCGGAAGTTGGAATGCAGAAATTATCAATATGAGGGAACATATTGGAACATGAATTCCATTTGGGTGTTAGTGGGCTTGGCAACTTGGTATATGTAAAACACAGCAAGAGTAGAAGCCATTCTATAGAAAGAAATCATTCAAGAGACATTTAATAAGTGTACTAATCGGAACTGATTCATGGATTAGATGTCAGTTGAGGATGAAAGAAAATTGGGTGATTATTCTGTTGTCTGAGGATTAAGAAGCTGAAATAATAATAATAATAATAATAATAATAATAATAATGTTAAGAATCCTGGAGGATAACCAGTTGGTTTGAATTGAGTTGTAATGGATTTTAGGTATGTAGAAGGAAAAGTTGAAGGGTTTTCAGCATACTGATGGTAGTTGAAGCCACGAGTACATAATGCTATAGGAACTAATCCATCATGAAAACATTTCATATAATAGAAAAATCTGTAATCAATCGTATAAGAAATACTTAAATAAACATTGTACAAAACAAGAACCATAATGGGAAGAATGAGACTAATATTAAAGGACAGGAGGATTTGAAAATAAGCCAAATAGTAAAATGAAGGAGAGTCATTAAACTTCTTTGGAAAAGAGCTCTACAAATAGATAATCCATATGAGGAAAATATATACTTGAAAGGATTAAAAAAATTGAGATAAGGAAGGTAGAATAAACCACTTGCATATCCCAAAAAGGAGTACAGAAAAAGAGAAGACAGAATTTGCTGAAGTAATATTCAAATAGGTAAATTGCTAAGAATCTTTAGAATCCTTTACCAATTATTTTTAAATAATTAAAATTTAATTGATAGTAATACGTTTATTTTTCAGAAGTTGAAGTCATTGTATTGATATCTCTGTTTATTAAAAATTAACTAGGATTTAGCTAAAAATTACTTAGTTTTGTTGACTTAAAATATTTAAGATTTTTTGCTATAGGAATCAAAAAGGGTAAATGTTAAACCTAGTGAGAGGATTTTGGTGGCTGACAAGTTATGTTTTGTGTATTTCATTGCAAAATATTAATAACTAAAAATTAATAACTAAATTTAAAAAATTAAAATGTAAGTTTTTATTGCTAGCTACAAGTGCTTGGATGACAGCTATTAGCAGAAAAAACACTAAAGTATCATAAGAGAGAATTTTGTACTACTCTGTTTTCCCACAAGAAAGTTGTATGAAAATAATCCTTAAGGCTCGGTAGCTTAAAAGAGCGGGCATTTGCTCTCCTGCTTATGTGTTGCAGGTCAACTGTTTCTCTGTGGATATACATGGACTCAGCTAGATGGCTCTGATATAGGCTAGGAGTTGGCCCCAGGCCTGCTCCAGGTATGCTCATTCTAGAGCTGTAACAAGAACAGCTACCTGGGTTATGATTTTCAAGTGGCTGATCACTGGAGAGCGAGAACCAGGCCAAACCACTTAGCCATGTTTAAGGTCTCCATCCATTGTCATATATACTAAGATTCAATTGATCAAACAAGTCACATGGCCAAACCTAATCATCAGTGTTCAGGGAAATATCCTGGGCTTACAGTGGGAAGGGTGAATGGATATTGATGAACAGTAATCCATGCTACCACAGTTTTCATATTAAAAGTTTATTTCAGGTTTAATAACCACCCACAAAGGAATAAAAGCAGTAAACCGTGTTTAATTTCCCAACATTGATGTAGCAGCTCCCAACCTGAGCTAGGGCTCCACAGGGTATTGCTGGCACAGGTGCTACCTTGTGTACATTTTAAAAGGACACTTCTCTTCCAGGGTTGGCCCATGCCATGCAGGCCCACATGCCCACCAGGTGAGGTGCGTTTGTCCTGCTGTGGCCCTGGACTTTCCTCAGGCAGAATTGTGAAATGAGAAAAACTTTACTTTAGAGCTTTTTTGCATATACCCTCCCTCTTCTGTTGTCCCCGCACTGTCCTGTTGTCTGGTCATACCCCAACCCTGGACCCCTGGTTCCCATCAAGTGAGTGATAATATCTCTCCTATCACCCTCAGACACAACCTACATAAGCTCCCTGTGCTTGTCTTAAAATAGATGTGTCACATGGGGTTTAGTTTGTTACCCTTCTGATGGCTAGTAGAAATTTCATCAAAGAAACATTTCATATTTGTATCTTTCCATGATTAAATTTTGTTGTAGATCAGTTCAAATGATTTATTACTGTCTTAATGTACAATATGTTAAATATTTCAATGAAACTACTTCTGTATAAATTTTCTGTAGCAAAGGAACAATTTTTATGTATCTATAAATAAATGTAGGAATTGCTATGCATCTAATGAGAAATATAACGTTCATAGTTATGTATTACACGTAAGTTTAATAGTGTATTTATTTCATTTTGCTCCAAATTTGAAAGCAGATTTATTATTTTCTAGAATTCTTTAAGACTGTCACTTTTTTTTCAATTTAGATTAAATCTCTTGATGAGGAAAATGTGGTTGGCAAGATTTCCAAGCAGTGGACTGGTTTTGTGAGAGAGGCATTTACAGATGCCGATAACTTTGGGATCCAGTTCCCTGTAGACCTTGATGTGAAAATGAAAGCTGTCATGATTGGCGCGTGTTTCCTCATTGTAAGTCTATTCTTGCTAATCTTGGGTATTTCTTTAGTATCATTCTGTAAAGATTCAGAGAACTGTACATTTTTAAGTGACCTGCTTAAATTTATAGGTTTTATTCCAAGGGGATCCTATTTGATCCTAGCTTTGAAATTCCATTTTCCCCTGATAGTCTAGACTCACAGGTGACTAGATCCGTGGGAAATTCTACTGTTTGGCGTAGCAGTAAAAGATCCTTGTGTGTTACAGAGAGGTCCTGGTCTTGGGGCTTCTATCTAAAAATTAAAACAGGTGCTTTGGGTAAGACTTCAAATATGAGTTTACATGGAGTACAACTCAGTGAAACAGGGAGATTTAGTCTTGATTCATTATTCAATTAAGCCTTGTACTGTGGGAATGTGAACTGCAATAAGAGTGCATCCAATCAAGCCACCAGATGGAACTGGCAGTTGAAAGGAAACATGTAGGTTAGACAGTGATTCTGGACTTGTCTTCCAGTAAATCACTCAGGGAGATTTAAAAAAAAAAAAAAACCCAAGTACCAAATCATACCCTAATTTAACTAAAGCTGAAGCTCACAATCAGAAGTTTGTATAGCTCCCCAGGTGATTCAATATGCAGCCAAAGTCAAGGACTCCTGGGAGAGAGCAGTAGTTCTCAACCTTAGCTGCACAGTAGAAACACCTTGGGTAGCTTTTCAAACTCCCTGTGTCAAGACTACACCCAGATAGTGAGTCAAAATCTCTGGAGATGGGACCAAGCCTTCAAGCTGTTTAGTTCACTCCCAAGTGATTCCAATGTGCAAGCAAGGTTTGGAATCACAAGATGAATATCTTAATTTATTTGTGGATGCACTCAGAACAAAACTAAAAGATGAGAGAAATTTACACAAGAAGATCCAGTTCGTTTAACAAATCAGTGTCAAGAAAATAAAAATATAACGAGATACTTAAAAGACATCAAATTAATGCAGTATGTAAACTCTGTATACTGAATTGAAACACTATAAAAAGACATTTACAGACATTCCCAGGAATTTGAACATTGGCTGGCTCTTTCATGATTGACTTACTGATTTTTAAGGTATGATGATTATATAATGGTTATATATAATCATATATATAAAAATAAAACATTAACAGAGTCCTTATTATTAGGGTCACATACTGAAGTATTTCAATATAAAATGGTATGATATCACAGATTTGCATTTAAATAATGAGGGTGAGGCCTGGGGAATCTAAAAGAGTAATTGATGAATGAAGATTGGTCATATTAATAATTATTGAATCTGGGTGAGTAGTTATTTGTACTTCATTATGCTATTCTATCTCATTTGGAATAGGCTCAATATTTTCTATATAAAGTTTTAAAGATAGCCATAGTTCTACTTAAAAATGCAATTTTCAGTAACAGTTTATGGCATATGAAAAATTACCTTACACTTAGGGAAGTGTTTAGCCAAAGATATGGTGTGTACAGGAAAGATAAGACAGTCTGAGATATTTGGATAAATGGAATGTGGGATTTGGCGTGGTGGTGGGATCATTAGTAAATGGCTATGGAATAGATTGGGCTTCTACTTAAGGACTTTTAAGGCCTGGGCAACTTCTAATAGACCATGGGAGAATATTGAAAATGATTTAGTTAACTGGTTAGTTTTAAACTAGGTATAAATAAAATAGTTATAAATCCAAATTTTAGAAAAATAAATCCTGATGACTGTGAGAGAAATGGATTGAAGAGAGATGTAATTGCAGCAGTGCAATTGTGTGAGATTTGAAATAAGGATTAAATTATTTCTATTGAAGGGATAAAAGAAAATGATAGATGTGTGAGATAAAATCCATAGGATTTGACGTTAAGTCATGGAGAGGAGGATCTAGTTAGACATGGAGTCAGGCAAGTTAGGGAACACAGTAGACAAGTTTGGAAGAGAAATCATAAAATGGGGACAAACATTTCAAAGTGGTACTCTAACTCTAAATGGCCTTCATTCCCCTGAAAAAAATCTAAAAGTTGTGCATGGTATAGAGAAGGAATATAAAAACTTTAGGACGAAAGAATCAAAAAGGAACATTCCAAGGGACCTGAGAAAAAGTGAAATTTAAAGAAATTACCAAAGGACAAATTAAATTTATACGGGTATTAATAAGTGAAGAGAATTATAGTATTTAATTATTAGAATGGAAAGCTGAAACTACTGACTTTTCTCAGATCTACTTGTAATAGTCAATTTTCTTGTTTAGTAGATATGGCATTCTATTTCATCACGTCCCTTAGCATTTATGCATCTGAGAATTGATCTCTGTTTTGTTACTGAAAGTTCCTTTCTGTGTTTTGTTTTCCTTCAGGATTTCATGTTTTTTGAAAAGAGTGGAAACCAGTAACAGAGAGCAGGAGTGTGGTAGTAGATAAATAAAGGTCTCCTCAGGAAGTGTGAAGTCTGTATCCTGGTTGGGACTATGTACAAGTAAAATTCAGTGGGTTTTTTTTCTTTATTGAAATGACTTATAACTTATGAATTACACTACGATGCCAGAAGCTCCACATATATTTCACTTTTCAAATTGTTTATTTTCTGTATCACTTACTTATAAATGTTTATATACATTTTAATTTTATGTGTTTTGTATTTTATGGTGTATATCAGAGAAAGGGCATTGGAATTTTTACATTTAAACATGAAACTTCCTTTGATAAATTGCTTTGTTTTCAATTTATAGCAAAATTAATTAAAATTATTTTAATATAAAATTATATATTATTTTATTAAATTTAGTTAAAATTTATTTTATGTGTAACAACTGATGTTATTTTGCAAATATTTTATATTCAAAAAAGTTAAAAATGAACATAACTTGTTTCCTTTACAATTATGTTCAAATAATACTCAAGTTCATATTTCAAGGAAAACTAAAATATGTATTTGTTTTTATTCAACAATTAAGTCACATTTAACTTTTATATATTCTAATCTGTTACTGTGATTTTTATATTGACAAGACAATGAATTACCAATTTTTAATGGATTTAAGTGAAAAAGATCCTCTATCAGAAAGACAGACATTTTATTTAAAGACCCACTCACTTTAAAACTTGAGTATTGTTATAATTTTTGAAGTAATTATTTAAACATGTAATGTTTAGTACCTAATTGTATCATTCATAGAACATGGTAGTTATGAGATCATTCAAGTATCAATTAAATAGAACATATATAGTCCATCAGAGTAGGAACTTCAATAATAAGCTAGTGGGTTATTTATGCTAACAATCAAGTAACTGAAATAAAAAATTGTTGATATATTTCTTTGCATAGTTTTGTTTTTAAACTGAACAATTAATTCATATGGTGTTCTGAACTTACACATTTATCACCTGCCTTCCTTTTCAAAAAAGCAAAAGCATTTGATATTCGTTAGTAAAATCCATACCAGTGCTCAAAGCTAGGATTTCTACCTGTTGGAAACTTAAAGGAATTTTTTATACTCTGTTTTATAGGAAAACTTGGATTGAGTGGGAAGAGATACTCAATCCATAATTCAACTCTTGCAAAGGAAAAGTGTGCATAGGACATACGGGGTTAGGGGAAAGACTCCCTTTCACCTTCAGCAAAATTCTGCCAAAACAACTAGTTCCCAATGTTGAGAACATTTGGATGTCAGGGGAGCTACAGGAAAAGCTAAGTCTAGACCATTTTTATTAGTCAAATAGTTCACCAGATGCCAGATTACAATGATGAGAAGTAATCATGTCTCTCACATTCAGTTTATAGTTGGTACAGACAGCATGCCAGATAAAGTGAGGTGCTTGCATAGCTGGATCCTAGTGGCATTAGTTGTACCAGTTAGAGAAGAGGAGGGCTTTCCGGGCTAGTTACCGAGTACCACAACCAACCTGAAATGAGGCTAGAGCTACTGATATTATCTCTGTGATGGTTACATGTTTCTTTCATTCTCCATTTTTCTCACTCATCCCCTCCTTCTTCCTCCACCCGCTCCTATGCATAAAATTCAGGATTTCTGGTTCAGCAAAGTAAAACTATAACTGATTTAAACAGTTACTTTCTTCTTCAGTGTGCAAGGAAGATTTGTGCAGACACCCATATACCATCTGCAGAATCCACTTAAGTTCAAATACTAGGAAAACTAAGCATTTATGAAGAGAAAAATTATTACAAATGGAAAATTAGAAATTTAAATGAGAAAAATACCAGGAATTAAAACAAATGTCTATTTGTAATCTCAGTGAGATTTGGAGGAATGTTTTCTATTTCTATAACAGGCTGTAGAGAAAAGGGAACATTCTGATGAGGCAAAATTTTAATAACTTTGAGAAATATGACCACATTTCAAAGTATAATGGAGCATTGGAACAGTACATTACATAAAGTATAAAGATAACAAAATAAAGTAAAAGATTTTAATAATTTCCCCAGAAATCATATAAAATAAAGAGAGAAAGGCAATTCCTAAGGAAAAAATAGATCAACTTCAATTTATGCATGGCAGGAATTTCAGAAGCAGAAATCAATGGAGCCAAGAAAATAAAAATAATTTAAAAACATAGGAAAACTTATTTGCAAAATGGACAGATTTTGCAATCTAGGTGAATGGATTTACCATATTTCAAAAACTTTCATTAAAATACCTATTTATGAGTATTTTTACAAGACAGTTACTACATGCTTGCATTATGGCAGATACTGTTAGGCCTTAGGAGAATGGTTTCTGTGGCCTAATTTCTGTGATATTCTCCTAGATTAGTTCATTTTTTATTACATTACCAATAGGGTTTGATCAATATACTACTGTAATCACAGGTGTTTCAAAAGACCAAAGGATGTGGAACAAAAGGTAAATCTTCTAAAGGCATTTGATATCTTGTTCCCCATGCCTGCCTCTGAGTAGAGCTTTTCCACTCCTTAGGTGCTTTCCTTGTGGATGATGTGACATAGACAGATGTGGTGTCATGGCCTCACTCAGATCACTGATCCCCTCTGCCTGTCCTTTTTACCTAAGGAGAAAAAAGGAAAAGCACACCTCATTATTCTGCCCACCAAGTCCTAGATCTTGGCTTCTAAACACCATTTTCCACTGGAACTGGGTTTTCGAGAAATGGTTACACCCAGAAATGAGTCAGGCTCAAGTACAAGATGTCTCAAACAACTTATCGAAAAGCCAAGGAGGTGCTTAAGGAATAACACTGAGATATCACAGGGATGAAGGAACCAAATGGAAAAGGCTCCCACCAGCAAACCTAAGTAAATTTGAACAAAAAAATTATAGGAAGAGATCATTATCTATTGAATAAATTAGGACACCACACGACCCTACTGGTAGAAGTGTGTAAATTAAAAGTTTGTTGAGTACAAAGATATGTGTCGTTTCAAATTACACCCCCACAAAATATTTTTTAATTTCAAAGGGGGCAAGAGTAACTTTTACAGTAGAGTCTAGTGATCAAGTGATTGAAGTGATCATCAGTAATGGCACGACATGCAACAGAGTTCCACCTGATAGCATGCAGTAAGATGCAGCATCACAGGAACTGTGATATGTCCTTTAAGACAGCACATCGTGAGGGGATTTTGTTTTCATGCTGATGACGTTTCCTTGTGGAATGCCTTTGTGTCCAGTACTTATGCTTATTTAGTTAGCTAGTCAGGATCTGGGCTTCGTTTGTAGTTTCTCATTAGTTACCCTCACCATACTGCAGATTTCACATTTTTCTGCCTGATTATTTGTGTTCAGAATGTGGGCTAGTTTGCAAGAATGTTTACCCAAATGCTTGGAGGGAATCTGCTTCTTGCAGCATTCCCCACTGTAATTCACTGCTTTTTTCACACGGAGCTTGTTAGCCTGGGGGTGGGGAAGGGGCAGTGTTCTCTGATATTCAATTTAAGTGTCGGTCTTATAGTACTGTAAAATCTCCTGTGGCCTCAGCCCAATTCAATATAATTCTAAAATGAGAGACTGTGGGACTTGGCCAATTTACCCCTTTAATCTGGTCATCACCAGCAGGCATTCATAGCACAGGCTGGAAATCTGAGAGCTGTGTTTCATGGTGCTTGTATGAGGGGAATAGATGGGTGATAGGGTGTGGGGAGGGACTTTGAAAGCATATTCCAGTCAAAAGAGACTCAACAAATCAATGAACCTAAATTTAGTGATCCCAGTTGGAAACATGCCAGAGCGAAAAGGTTCAGAAAAGCAGTGAGACCACTTCTAAGGCCACTTGCCCTGTGTGGCTTGACTAGGGCAAAGCTACACAGAGTATGAAGCCTGCTCTTATCTTTGGACAGGAATAACCCTCTGTACTCCTACTCCATCATCCTCTTGCTCTTCCCACCCCACAACCCAAGATTCCTTGGCCTGAGAGAGTACACAAAAGGTGAGAAGTTATCATCTGCCCTGGATGGGCCAAAGGCCCAGGAGAGGGAAATTTAGGGGCTTTCCTAGGGCCTAGGAGCCAGGTAATGCAGGGCGGGTTGTGACAATGAATGGTGTGTCATTAGATGTCCCTGACTAAGGAGTAAGTATAGGGAGAGGGTGAAGGACTGAAGTGGCGTAGCTGCTGGGAGAGAAAAGGAACTCCAAACAGACAGTCGAAATGGTCAGAAAGTGATGTCTGGGTTCCTAGCATTTAGTCAGCTGCTCTTTCTTCTAGTCTAGGTATTGAGGTTGATTGGAATGTATGCTCAAAAAGAGCTACTATAATTGTACAGTAATTAGAAGGAACTTAATAGGGAATTCCTACCATTACTTAATAGAAATAATAAGTTCAAAAAATCTTCCAAGATACAACTACTCCTCCTACAGTGCCCCAGGTAGATGTTCAGAGGTTGCCTCAGAGGTTGTCCCTGCCCCCACCTGCCATGCTCTGGACGCCTGGTTTTCTTAGGGCAACATTCCTGCACCTAACCCTGTCTCTTTTTAGGAAGAGTCCCTCCCTAGTCGTTAATTTCCTCCGTTGTCAGGTGGGCATGATAACAGTATATACCTTCTACATTCTGTGTGAGTATTAAATGTTCTAATGTAGGTCAAGGCACTTGAGCAGATTCCTGCAGTAGAGCAAGAGCAGAACATGAAAATGGCTGCATGCTAATCATCACAGGTTTTTTAAAATGGAGAGTAGTGGCTCATGCTAATATAGAAAGTTTTGGCTAAACTGAATTTCTGCATTGTGGCTTTAAATGGCATATACAATTCATTACGAATCCACAAATGAAGACTGACTCTGCTACTAGAAGACAGAAAATGTCTTCATACAAGATGCTAAACTGGGGACCACTCCCATTTCAGAGCAGGGTGGAATACCATCTGAGCCCTGAGGCCTTCATTTCCCTTCTTAGCCTCATGGTCTCCAAATGTGGAAAACCATGAAAGAAGGCGGCAAAAATCTGGAGCATGAAACCAGATGAAACATTATTTACTTGACAATACAGGATTTGAAGTAGAAGCTCTGGATTTATAAGCGGTGATGGCTATGAGATGATTTATACCCAGCAGAGCTGACTGGCCACAGACCTCTGAACTTACCTCTCTCCACACAGAGCATTCAAGTTCAACTTCAGTCTGCTTTTAATGGTGGAAAGTACCCTATTGGTGCCAAAAGTCGGCTTAAAAATTTACCCAAGGTGGAAAC